GGCAGCGAGGCGCCAGGTGAGGGCTGCGGGACCCCGGCCCCCCCCGGCCGGGAGGGAGGGAGGGAGGGAAATGACTGCAGAGTTGGGGGCAGAGAGGGGGCAGGGCTTAGGGGCTCCCCCCTGCTTACCTTTAAATTAAAAAAAAAACAAAAAACCAAAAACAAAACAACCCCCAAAAAAAGAAAAGAAAAAAAAAAACACAAAAAAGAAAACCCAAAACATTTCTGTGCTGTGCAAAAGACACTTTGTACAATTCAAACAGAACAAACTCCATGCACATGAATGGGGCTACAGAACTCCCCAAGCCAGGACCCGGCTTCCCGGCACCACCTGGCAAAATCCCAACAAAACCAGGGCTGGAAATAATACTGATGCGCAAAGTCCCCTTTAATAGGCGGGCAGGGAGGATTGTCGCTGAGCCCAGCCACGGCACATGCAGGACAAGCTTCCAAGCACTGCAGCTGGGGTCTCGCTGATGCCCTACAGTGATGGACAGACACAGAAGGGGTCACAGGCAACAAGGCCGCGCCGGCCGCCCGGGAGCCGGGAGTGCTACGAGGACACAGTCACTGCCGTCAGGGCTCCGTTCCGGGTGTAGTAGAACTTGCTAAATGCCTCTTCAAGTAAACAGGTAAGTCTGCTCTGGTCAGCCTGGGAAGAAGAAGCTGCAGTGAGGGGCAGCTCAGCCCCTGCCAAGCTAGAGCTTGGCATGAGGGCAGGGACATGTCCTGTTTCTCTTGCCTCCCCAGCTAGAGGAGTGATCTGGCACAAACCACTGACCTTGAGACAGGAATGCAGACCTGCATCCCTGCATGAGCCCCAGGCCTGCTTACCTCACTGATGAACCCAAGTTGGACCAGTTCAGCTGCCAGCTCCTGGATGTTGTCATCTGCAATACAGGGATGGGTGTCAGCCCCAGGGACAGGTGTGCTGCTGGCCCCAGTGCAGCAGAGCAGGGAAGGAGAGGTACTTACTGGGTTGCAGGTCACAGCTCAAGTGTCGATTTAACTTGTCTTCCAGTTTCAGCAGCAGTGTTAACTGCAGGGTAAAGAAGTTCTCATGAGGGGACTGCATGGTAGCCACAGATAGCCAGGAGCACCCCCCAAAATCCCCACCAGGAGAGGAGCCACCCTCCTGCAGAGCCCCACAGGAGTCAAACAGAACCACCCCATTCCAACCCACATCACCATCCTGAGGGGGGAGCCTGAATCTGGGCATGGGCCAAAAACATCTGCTGGGTGCCAGGTCAGCCACAGGCACAGGCCTGGGTCAGGCTTTGGGCCCCAAAGATGGCAGCTGAGGCACAGAGGGTGACACCAGGCACCAGCAGCACATCCACGCTGGAGCCAGGTGCTCCTCACAGCTGCCCTGGTACCCCCCTGCCCCCACAAGTGCAGCCAGGGGATGGGAACATACATGGTGCTTCACCCCCTCCTCGACTGACTCGATGTTGCACTGCATCAGCACCACCTGCAAGGCAGAAACAGGCTGTGAGTACATGCTGGGGCACTGCAGGGCTGCCCGGGGTGGGGAGGAACTGAGCCCCTCTGCTCACCTTGCGGGTCTCCACCTCAGCAGGCTCTGGAGTCGGGGTCTTCACAGACGGTGGAGCAATGGGAGACTTCACCACCACCTGCTGGGGCTGCTGGGGCCGTGGCATCCCAAAAGCTGTGAGTGGGTAGATACCATTCCTACAGGAAAGGAGCAGGGTCTGTGGTTATGCCTCTGGAATTTTTCCAGTTTTACACAGTTAAAGCTGCCCTTTTAAAAAAAAACAAACAACTCTTACCTCACATCCTCCAGGAACTTGTCCAGCTCCAATGCTGGAGACTGTGAGAAACTGGGAAAAAAAAAAAGGTACTGAGCTGTCAAGTGATCTAACAGAACCATTCACTCAAGTCTCTTTGGATGCCATTTCAAGTCCCCATGTCCTAAGCTACAGCTGTGTCAGTGGGCAGGAGGAGTATGGACAGAGGCAGCCAGCCAAAGTGAGACAGACTCTAGCCCTCCTGTACACAAAGCAACTGTTCAGAGAAGCTAAGGATGAGGCACCATTTTCATTATGGTAGGACAGGCATCCCCTCCCTGTAGAGTTGTCCAATACAGAGAGTTATTTGGAAGCTATCCCAATAGCCCCAGTCCTAGCAAGGCTTTTTAGAGACATTTGTTACACCAGAGCCATGAAGCCTGTGTCCCACCTCCAGAAGAACAAGGGACTCAGCACTGCAAAGGCAAGATGGCACAATACAACCAACTGTATCACTCCCAAGCAGAAACTACACATTGGATTTAATGCCCTGCCCAAATATTTCTCACTAGAGTTCAGGATACTTTTGTTTTCTCTGTAATTTCTTTGCCAGGTTGCTTGTTCAGCTTGTTGGCTCCTTAATGTAGTGTCTCGGAGGAAGACCCCCTACCAGTTAATTTTCAATTCCCCAGCCTCTAATTCCACTGAACATCTTCCTTGCTGGTGGCTGAGGGAGGAAAACAAGTACTAACAACCCCTCACCTTTCTGCTATAACTTGTATGTCTGTCTGCTGCTCTTCCTCTTTCTTACCCTCAAGAACATACAGTTCCTCCATGTGGTGGCAATGATTTCCAGCCCCCTGGTGGGGGGCCACTTCTCTGATCTGCTGCAGGACCATTCACAGAGGCACAGATGTGTACAGGCACACTGTACAGGTAACATCTTCAGACATTTCACTCGATCACCACAACCTTCCCTCCCATTATCTGGCACCCTGGTATCATGTCTGCTCTTGTCTGCAGCACAGCAGCGCACTTTCAACGAGCTGGAAATGGTCTTTTCCTGTGGCATTGCTTCACAGCCTTCTCAGACAGAGAAGCAGGTTTTTTTTCGCCAAAGCAAGTGACTGTTGCCTTTGCATGGTCCAGGGAGTTAGCAACACCAGAAGAGCCTACAGCCAGTCCTGTGTTCCTCTCTGGTTCTGACTAACCAGGCAACACAGGCCAAAGGGAATTCAATACTATTATTTATTAGTGCTATAAAGACCAGAATGTCCATTTTTAGGAAGGTCTATATGGCTCAGAGAGCTTCTCAAATGAACAGTGCTTTTTCCCCTTGTTCTCTTGATGGGTTTTGTTCTGTGCCTGAGCATCCCAGAATGTCAGGCTGCCCTGCAAGCACTCTGGCCTTCCCTGGAAATACAGTGTCCATCTTCTAGTCTCTTCCCCTGATCCCTCAACTAGCTGAGTTTCATTACCCAAAATTTAACATCACTTTTTGGCACTTGACTCCCTGCATACATGCTGTCTTACTCAGGGACCCATCTCTGCAGTTTAGGTGTTGCCAAGAGCTGCCCCAACCAGCCTCCCCCTTTGCATGATGCAGGATGAGCTGCTCCATTACCAACACTGAGGAACATTTCTCCAACATGTTGGACTCCATTTCACAAGCCTCTGACTGGTCTGAGTCACTTCCTCAAACTGTTCAACCAGGCTTTGCCAAGGACTGTCCCAACAACAGTGTGTTAACTTCCTGCCCATCTCAGCTGTCTGGAATCTGCTCACAGAACATGGGGCAAGGTCTCCTTACACCCAGGAGCTACCCTTCACAGAATTTTCTGGGCCCTGGAGAAGAATGGAATGCACCTGCACCAGCAGCACAACCAGCTCCCCTGTGTTTCCCAGTTGGTGGTGAAATGCCAACACTAACTCCAAGGGAAGAGTCCCAGGCAGGTCCCAGGCTCACCCCTGTGCTCTGGCACCTATCCTATCTGCACCCCAGCAGCCCCTCCCTCCAAGCACACCACGGGTCACTCACATCATCTTGACTCCTTCCCTGTCTTCATGATTAATCTCTGCCAGCACTGCACTCATGTCAAGGTTTTTGGTCATTTCTTCTAAAGCATTTTCAGGAATCATATCTGTGAAAAACAAACCAAGTTAGACCTGAACAACTGCAATTCCTCCCCAGCCTCTGAAAAGCAGTAAAACCCCAGGGGCTCCAGGCTGTGAGGCTCCTGTACTGCTGAGAGCAGACAGGGCACCACACACCTCTGGGCTCTGCTGGGACCACAGCTCTGTCCCACCAGGCCCTGCCTGTTAAAGAGCAGCAGAAAGCCCTTGGCTTCCAGGACAACTGTCCTGACAACTCAGTGAAGCTCTGCACAGCACGAGAGGTGGCATCTAGGGCTCCATACTCACGCTGATGCCCAACGATGCAGTGAGCAGCCAGTAGCTTCAGGGATGGCACCTCAAACAATGCCTGGTGGAAAAGGAGCTCCCGGGCAGTGGGACGCTTACTGGGGTCCTGCTCTAGACACTTCTGAATGAACTCCTGAAAGACAAGACCTGCATGAGAACATGGGCAACACCAACACGGCATCAGGGGCACTGCTCCCTCCTCACTCACCCTCTGCAAGGGGTCCTCCAGCAGCTGGATGGCACTGTTGATGGCCTCCTGGGGCACATAAGAGGACTCCCCATTACCCTGTATTTCCAGCACCGCCATCTGCAAGCACAAAGCAGCGCATCAGATCCCTCTGGAAATTTCTGACTGCACTGCCACAAGCTCAAAGGGACCAGAGTCAAGCGCGAGATCATAGTGGCCAAACTGTTTGGTGCTATTTAAGGTCACCGCTGGGGGAGGCAGAGAACGACTGCCCCATCGCAGCCTGCCAGGGAGCCCTGAGCACCGTGCCAGCACCATCCTAGACAGTATCTTCATTCTGCATCTCATGATGCATTGGCCTGTACTTCTGCTTGATAATTCCCATCCTCTAATGAAGCAGTAGCTGGATCACTGCCAGAACCTGGCAGTGTCCCTCCTGGCGGTACAAACAGCTCTGTATTGCAAGAAGGAAAGCAGCACACAATGCCACCCAGAACTGGCTCCAGCCTCCACATACACCAATTCCCAGCTAGGAAAGGCTGACAAAATATGCCAGGGGACATCTTCAGATTCAGCTCAAGTTTTGCCTCCTAAAAGTTGTGTTTCCACAGTTCTCTTCACTCACAGGATGTCCAGCATAGGTTCAGAAGTCTTCATGTTCACTCTTTCTGACAATTCTTCCCAGAAAACACTCCTACCAACAATTCCCATTTCCCAGACTTCAGCCTACTGATGGCAAGGACAGAAGAACCACTAAGCTCCTAACATTAGGTATGTCTGACTGGCTCCTAACTGCAACCAGCACATATATCAGGTGCGGAGAGGCTGGCCCAGAAAAGTTAGGGACTACACCTGTCCTCTCCTCCAGATACCACAGGAAGAAAAGGGACTCCCCAGAAGGGGGGTTTTGCTCTCCATGTCTGTTCAGTACAGCTTGCAGCAGAGACTGCTCCCACCAGACAGTGGGTCAGACTCCAGAACTGGCCAAGACCCAGAGAGTAATGAATTGCATGTTAGGACTGCAGACAGAACTACACATTGCTGAACCATTTACTTCTGAGTAAGGGATCAGGAGAGCCCCGACAGGGATCCCTCCAAGATCAGGTGCATTTGGCTTAAAGAACAGAACACACTGCTTACCAAGCTCCCCCACCTGTAGCCACAGCATCTCCACAGAGCCACCCTCCCTTTGCCCCACAGCTAAAGTGTTCCACACTCACCTCCAGCGCACACATCCCAAAGGAGTAAATGTCCACAGCGGTGGTGACGTTGGCAACTTCTGTTAGACAGAAATAACAGTTATCAGTCCCTCCCTGCACTCAGCAGTGCCAGCAGGACCACCTCTGTACCAGGCTGTGACAGTCCCATAGCCTTCTCTCCCTCCTCTATCGGAAGACAGAGGAGTTGGAGCATTCAAGCATACAAATAACTCAAAGCTGTAAATCTGTCATGAGTAGCTGAAAACAAGTCACAGAACAGCTTGGAAGCACTAGAAAGGCCAAAACACCCAGGCATGCACCTGCAGCAACACCATACCTCCATATTCCGGGGCAAAGAAGTGCAGGTTCTTCTGTTCCTCACGACAGGTCTTCACGTGGTTGTTAATCGTGTCTGGTGCCACTAGAAGAAAGTCATCAATGTTCAGGACAGAGGAACCCATAGCCCATATCCCTGAAATAGATCCTGGGAATACATGCAACCCCAGGGCCCTCTGGTGCCCACAGGGGCAGCACAGTGGAGCTAAGCTGGCACCTCACCAGTCCCTCACTTCAGCTCACCTGCCCTGAGACATTTCTGTATTGTTTCCTGGGCTGCAGATCGACTGTGTGGCTCAGCACTACTCCCCAAGAGCAAAACTGGAGACTCAGTTTCTGCTGAATGGGAAGACAAGTTGGGAAGGTTTCCCACTCCTTGCAGTGCAAGTCCTGGAAGCACTGAACTGAAACTAGGTCTGTAGCACTTATCACAAGCAACTCAGCTATGACAGAAGCCCAGGAACAGCCAGAGATGCCAAGACCACTGCCATTAGTCACCACCTCAGGACTCTAGGAGAGGGGCAGACCTATGAGGCAACTCTTTCACATCTCAGCAGGGCACTGGTCCCAAGGTGCCTCCAGGCAAAAGTCAAGCAAAGCTGCTGAATGAGCTGAGGTGACCACACTGACAGAAGCCACCCAGCACCTCCAGAGCAACCACCACAAACCACTCAGAGCTGCAGGAAGGGAACAACTCTTAGCCACAAGAACAATGAGCAGAACACAGGTATGGACCCCATAAAAGATAAGCTTTCAAACAGCCACCTCTGACACTGCAGCAAACAGCTACTGCCCAGCCCCTGAGATGTTCTTTGGGCCCTACTCAGACAAGAAGGACCTGACTTGGTTACTCAGCTCAGCCTTGCTGTGTAGCACATGCCAAATCACACTCTCTTATCCAAGCACTGGAAATGGAGTTTGCTCCAGTGGCCAGTGTCCACTTTCCCAAACATACTCATTAGTAGCTTAGTGCTTTGGTTTTCATGCTAGCTCTCATCTTGGGAGTCTTGGTCAGGCTCCTCTCCCAGGCAACTAGTGACAGGACAAGAAGGCACGGCCTGAAGCTTCACCAGGGGAGGTTCACGTTGGACATTAGGAAGCATTTCCTTAAAGAAAGGGTGATTAGATATTGGGATGGATGGCCCAGGGAAGTGGCAGAGTCACCATCCCTGGAGGTGTTTAAGGAAAGACTGGATTTGTCACTTAGTGCCATGGTCTAGCTGATGTGGTGGTGTTAGGTCACATGCTAGACTTGATTATTTCAGAGGTCTTTTCCAGCCCCAAAAAAGTCTGTAAGTCCAATAAGATGACTGCATTCCCAGTGCTGACCTGTTTACAGCCACCACCAGGATCCCTCAGCATGGTAAGCTAAATTCATGGTCTTCCTCTCAAGACCTGCTCTGTGTTTTCCCAGTGACACTGACTGCTGTAGCTGAGCTCTGGCCAGGACTACCATGATCACACCAATTCTCTCTTCTGGTCACTCTGCCCCAATGAATTTTAATATTGCAAACTCGGTGGGTCAAATTCCTCTCTTGAGCCGCTAGAAGACACCAGATGCTCCTCAGATCCCAAATGATGAGCTCTGGACTTTTGTGCGGCTTCCTATTTTGAACTACTGAGTAACAAGTGGAACTTGTCCAGTCCTCTCACATCTTCCTGCACTTCTGGAGGACATCCTGACCTACCTCAACACCACCTACTACACATCACTACTAACAGCATCAACATTGGTGAGACCAGAGTCCAGGGTCCTCCAGGCTCAGGTGGGAGAGCATTTTTCAGCCTCTGCCCTGTTACCCTGCCTTCAGCCAGGGCCTGACTGCACACCAGATGAATCACCCAAGGTGCATCCAGCACAACAGGTTCTCACACTGGGCCTTCTGCAGAGGTTCCCAGACATCCACAACAGAAAAGCCTTTTAAACTTGGTCTGCAGGCATTATATGCTTTTAGTAGCCCACTGTGTATGTCTGGTCCATAGGTGGCTACTGAGACATGGTGCTATGTCAGATCTTCCCCAGCAGCCAGATTTCCTTGCCATTGCTGCTCTTTCCTATTTCCTTTCTGTAGATGTTTTGGCCAAGGAATCAAGATGCACAGCCATCTGAATACTCTAAAGTTTTTGATCAAGATCAAATTTTTTTCCTCAGAGCAACCAACACCATTAAAATTTGGGCATTCCCCTGAGGCTTTGGCTGTAACACAATCGTAGGATCTCATTGCTTACAAATAAGTTTGTTCCCTGCCTGCAAGAACTATTAGTTTGTCCTAGTTTTTGCAAAACAGGGTATTTAAGACTTCAGAAAGCCTTCTGCTCTCAAGCCCAATTTTTTTTTTTAATGGAAGGCTGGAGATCTTTATGCAGAACGAATTAGCACACAGGTGTTTTTGTGAATGCTGCTAAACCTCACATCCACTGCATGCAGCAGCCAACCGTATCCCGGGCTGCATCCCCTGCAGTGTGACCATCAGGTCAAGGGAGGGGATTCTCTGCAGTGTCGTGTACAAATCTGGGGTCTCCGAAGCAAGAAGGACACAGAGCTGCTGGAGTGAGTCCAGAGGAGGCCACAGAGATGATGCGAGGGCTGGAGAGCTCTGCTCTGGAGACAGGCTGAGAGAGTTGAGATTTTCCAGTCTGGAGAAGAAAAGCTGGGGAGGGACTTTTGACATGGGCAGGGAGTAACAGGACAAGAGATAACAGTTTCAAGCTGAAAAAGAGGGGACTGAGATGAGATCTGAGGAAGAAATTCTTTGCTGTGAGGGTGGTGAGACCCTGGCCCGGGCTGCTCAGAGAAGCTGTGGAAGCCCCATTCTTGGCAGCATTGACGGCCAGGTTGGACAGGGCTTGGAGCAACCTGGTCTGGCGGGAGGTGTCCCTGCCCATGCAGGGGGATTGGAATTAAGATTATTTTTAAGGTCCCTTCCAACTCAAACCATTCTATGATTCTATGATATTAAGACTAGACATAAAGTTTCTATGAACTTGAGAAAGACTTTATCAGCTTCAATCTCCCAACGTGTCTGTAATTACCACACATTGGATGGCAAAGGCCACTTCACTATCCAGCCATCCTGTCCTTTGCTCCTGGGCCCTAGCTAAGGACAGGAAAGAGGCAGCAATCAATCACAGGCATTATCAACAGAAACCTTAGCCAGAGGTGTCACAGGTGCTCCACTATCAGAAAGGCAAGGACAATGGAATCCTAACCCAACCTCTCTCTACAAATGGCTGCCTGTGCCTCGTTAAGTACTTGACTGTGAACTCCTCTGCATCCAGGTCCTATGGATATTCTGCAGCAGCACCAGCACCTCTGGAAAGTGCGTGAGCAGTTCCAACCCAGACCTATGGAAATGCAGTTCTGAATTTGCTGTCCCCTGCGATACGCTGGTCCTTGTACAGTCCCACTGGAATTCCTCAGTGTGTTTCTCTGTTGCTGATGCAGGGCCTGGCTCTGCAGCTGGTTTGATTAGCCACACCTGGCAAACCTTCCTCCTGCTCTATCGTAGCTCATGTGCTACTTGGCTGGAAGTCACAGGCATAACCTTGCTGTGACTACAAAGACGAAGCAAGGCGACTATAGTGCAATGATGCAGGATCACCAGATGTGTCCCCATGTGCTTCAGGGCTGAGAAAGATGGCCTGGCCAGACAGGTGGCTGTGCCACTCATCATTGTGACAGCAACAGCTCCGAAAATCTCGCTGCCAGAAGGCTAAACAAGGCCAACGAAAGTGCTGTTACACCTCGTGATGTTATTTTAGAAGCTGGGACAAGCAGCTTTGTTTTAGTCTGGCCTTGTCACTACTGGAGGCCCATCACCTCGCTGTGCAAGCCACTTAGCACAGATGGAGGCTTGAGGGGGGCTTCACAAAGGTGTACATTTCAGAACTCTTAACTGTACAAGACAAAAAGACACACTTCAAGGTACCTGACACAAGCTCTCCTAACTGATTCACACATGGTTGCTACCTGCCATCCAACTCTATAACTCATCATGACTGAACTCTGTGGATGATCAGCTGCACAAAGGCTAAGGACAGTTCCATTAGGCAAGTCAAACAAGTGAAGGACAGAAAGGGATGCCAGACCATCACTGACAACAAACATGCCTTTCTCAGCTACAGAGCAGGAGACAGCAAGGGGCAGACTACAAGACACAGCAGCACACGACTGATCCGTCTGGTAGGGAATTAGCAAAGCAAAGATGAATTTTAGGAAAGAACTCAGCCACATCCGATGCCTGTGCAGGGTAGGTGATGGGAAGAGACATGAAGTACAGCAGAGGACAGGACAAGGAACTTGCCTTTGGCAAGCTGAACTCAATCTGGCAACAGAAGCATAAAGAGAAATAATCAGCATTACTACAGGAACTGCAGAGCTTGCCAGACTTCTCAACCCCTCAAGGACATGCTCAAGCAGAGCTCACCAGGGCAAACAGAGAAAGCTCAGAGTACCCATCAGTCCTCAGCAGTGTCAGCCAGGAATGTTCCTCCCAGCTGTCACCAATAGCAGGTTTCAGCAGAGAGACCAAATAACACAGAGACTTGCCCTTTGAAACACTACATACTGCAGAAGATATTTTCCTCTTGTCCTGTGTCAAGTTCACACCCACCTTTGCTCTGCATTCCACACTTCCTCCTTGCAAGCAGGCCCAACAGCCTGTTCTCTCCCAAAGCAGCCACTGAACCATGCAGTCTCTTGTAAATCCCTAAGGATTCTCCACAGCTTAAGCATATCACCCCACTCTTCTAGGAAAGTACTCAAGTACATCATACTCCAGATCTCAGCAGGCTTAGAAAGCAGAGGAAAATCAGATAACAGCAAGAAGGATACCAACAACTAACCTTCAAGATTAGTCCCTATGCAATCCAGCCACAGAGGACAATTGACCACCTTGCCTATGCTGCACTGCACCAGCACCACAGGGACCCAAAACCAATCAATTCAGTGCAAGACCATGGGTTAGCAACTATAAAGGGATGGCCCACAGGGCCAGGAGAGGTATGAGACCACATTATTATCCCCTGTACTCATCCAAGACATTTTCAGTATTGCAAAAGGCTCTAAGATTGCACAAACCAAAG